ACAGAGCAAGACTGAAAAAAAAAAAAAAAAAAAAAAAGAAAAGCGGCCCAAACTGTGTATAAAAGCAGCAGAGTGGAGCGGAGAAGACCACTAATATGAGTTACACATAAGTGCAAAATTGCCTAAAGAGAGCAAAGATGCGATTGGCCAATCACGCCCACCTTCTCTTGCAGCCTGTTGTGGTATGACTCGCCGGGGTTTTCTTCCAAGTTCGCTTCTTTCTTGTCTAAAATGGTGGGAGGTTTATCCCTGACGGCTTGACTATCCTTTCGTTCCTCCCTCCTGTGAAGACTCTTCTCCTTGTTACTGTTCCTGTGTTTATCTGCAATTTCGATGTAGGAAAAGAAAACGAAAAAGAAAGAAAAATCGGTGGTGGAGGGGTAACTCTATAGTGGCGACTGCTAAAACTGTTGAGGGATCTTCTTACACCTCTGTCTGTTTCTTCCCACTTACCCGTTCTGTGGTGGTCCCTAACTGCACCTCCGAGGGGGGCATCACCTTTCGAGTCCTGATATCAAAAAAAAAAAAAAAGCAACTTTCTGCACCCACATATATGTTGAAATACATGGGGCACACCACTTAACCGCTAACAACCATCGATGTAGAGTCGTGTGAACAAACTTACGTGACCAAATTGGCTGTGCAGGCTATCCAAACACAGGGCAAGATTTTTTTTTCGAAGATTCTTTAGCATAATCGAGTGGCTGTGCAGTTCCTCCTCCAGGTGGTTGATGTCGTCTTCGAGAATAATCCTGGACGGCTTGCATGAGCTGCATGGAGGGGGGAGGAATGAGTAAAGCGAACGAATCGGATGAATGAGTGGAGAGAACGAATCGGATGAATGAACGCATCACTCATAGACGCGAAGAAACACACATGGTGCTCTGCTTCTCCGCCGCGGCGATTGAGCAATCCCAAAGGACTCGCCATTGGGGATCGAAGTGGACGAACCAGTTGGGGTTGCTCCTGTCCGTGTCAAAGATGTGCGCCTTCACCTCCTTCATTTTTTTTCGCAGCTCGTTTATCTTAACCACGATGTGGTTTATCTGTGCGCGGAGTAGGGGAGGAGAGTCGTGCAAGCAGAATTGTCGAAGCAGAATTGTCGAAGCAGAGCTGTGAGCAACGGCCACCGTGGCCATGGAGGAAAGGCCTGTCTGTTTCGGCGCCGCCTCATGTGCACCACCGGTGGCGCAGAGGGACATTCCGCTACCTCCTCGAAATTCTCGTTGACGAGCTCCTCCAGGCTGGTCACGTAGAGCAGCTTCTCGTTTGGGGTCTGAGTAGGGAAGAGAAGCGGTAAGGAGAAGCGGTGGAGACAGTGAATGTTCTGTCATTATGCAACGGGGGGGCATGCCCCCGTCGGGTCTTCCCTCCTCCCCCCTCCCTACACTTACGTATTCCTTCTCCAATAGGAGGAACTTTATTCGCTGAAAAAGCTCATCGATGAGGTTCTTCAAATTCAGATAAAACACATTTATCGTTTGATGACCCTGAGGAAAGAAGGAAGATAGCCATGTGGTTGTTTCTCTCACTATGGTTTATATGTCCCATGGGGGTAAAACATTTGTGCATTGAAGTAGACACATAAATTTGCCGCTCTCCGAATGGGAAGGGGGTAAAAGCTACCTCTATGACGATGTTCTTCGTCTGCATGAAGACACTGTCTATGGCATCCGTGGAGACATCCCCTCTGCTCAGATTAAACAGAACCTCCCGATTAACATCCTTTTGATTTTTCAGCACTTTGATTTCTTGTCTGTATTTCTCATTTTCCTCATTCAGATTTACTATTTGTTTTGCAAGGATTTTTTTAATCCCATTTATGTCGTAACTCGAGAGGATTGCCTTCCCGAGGGCCTTCATCTGATTCCGGAGTTTTTCGTTTTCTTCTTCCAGCTGCTCGTTGGCCTGTTCGTAATTTACCTTTCGGAAGTTCACTGGGTCGTAGTGCACCTGCTTGTTCTTCGCGATGACTTCGCGCAGGCGGTTGCACTCGTTCTGCGGGGGGGGATAGGAAGCGATCACAGGTGGGAGGCCATTACAGGTTAGGGGGCAATCACACGGACCGCTTGTGACGTGACCGCTTGTGGCGTGATCGCTTCTGACGTAGCGTACTCTCCCAAAGGCACACTCGTCGCTACCTTGTAGAGCCGAGCCAAATCGCTCAAATTCCACTTCTCCGCGTTGAGAGATCGAATTCGGCTGGTGAGCCTTCCGATTTTGCAATTCAAAGTGTTAATCTGATCACTCAGGGGAGATCCAACGTCCGTCACTCTGCTGATCACTTCAGGGGAACACTCATTTATGTAGCTCCTAACATCATCATTGAATTGGTTTCTGTATATATCATCTGAGTTGCTTTGCTGCCCTATGACCACTCCGCTGTGGTGAGTTCCATGTGGAAGAGTCGACGCAAAGGCTTTTATAACTCGCTGGTCTCCTACCATCCCAGGGATGCAACCCCCCTGTGATGGGAAGCTATACGTTATTTCTTGCGTGCAGACAGGGGTGGAGGAGGTAGCATTCCTTGAGTGGGTCCTGACTGGAACTGATTTCTGTCTACCTAGAGAAAACTTATTTAAGGGGGATACAGACCCTTTCCTCTTGTTCTTTCCACCCTCTGATTGACGATGCAGCGATTTGGTTCGAATGAAGACGTTGCTGCTTAGGGGTCGCATCGTTGCGTTGCTCCGCGAGGAGAGGAGAAAGGGGGGTTCTCGTCTGTCAAGGGGATACTTCTTAGGTCCATTCATCAGACCGCTACCCCCCTTCGTCGACGCGTCAGGGTAAATCAATATCTCCGTCTTGTCCCCCCTCCACTGCTTCTTCCCCTGGAGCTGCTTATTCTTTACGGAGCTGTTGCAGAAGAAGTCTTTTTTCGCGGAGGTGGCTGCGGGTGGCACGTGGCAAGACTGCTTCGGGGGGTAGTGGGGCGACGGTTTAGGATGTGCGTCGGTGCTGATTCGTATCGCAGTGGCAGCGGGGGCTTCCGTCATGTCGTAGCTGGCGTAATGGTGGTGGCTGCTGTAGTTGGGCTCGATGCCATAGTCGGGTTGGACGCCATAATTCGGGTGACCGCTATGCTGGATGTGGCTTCCACAGTTCGGATGACCGCTACCCTGGAGGTGGCCACCATAATTTAGGTCACCGCTATTGTGGGGATCGCCGCTCCAATTCACATCGACTGCTTGACTGGCGATGGCTTGCTGGACCGCGTAATCACCCATGTCCACGGAGCCGACGCAGCTCGCCGAAGCCCCACTGCACACGCCCCCCGCGTCAACGAAGTGGAAGGCCATTTCATCGGGTCGTTTCAGCACACCCACCATTCCATCATTACCCCTTCCAACCACGTAGCCGTTGCTATCAACAATGAGCGGTTCCTGAGCAAGGTAAGGATCCATTCGGCCGTTGAGACTTTCCTGATGATACACGTGTTCTGCTTGTGACGAGTCAACATAGGTACCGCTGCTTTGCCTTCCCTCGTCCACAAAGCAAACACTTTTGTTACTCACGCTGTGCCTATTTCCTTCCTGTTGCGTCAGTCCCAGAGGGTCGTTTCTTTCGCAGGGGCCAGGGATTTGCCCTTCCGTCTGATACACGTAGAAGGTTTGTTCTGTCTCGGGGGTGATCTGCGTGGTGAGCTGCGAGGGAATTTGAGAAGCCATTTGCGGGACGATCTGCGGAGTGACCGGCGTGGCGATGGTTGCCGTTTTACCACTCATCACGCTGTGCTCCATTGGTACAGGACTAACGTGGGAGGGTCGATGCTTTCTCTGGAATACTATCCCTTGGCTACCGCTGTTCAGCGTAGTCCACTTCGCACCATTAGGGAGTCCCCCTGTGGGAGATTCTCCACCCAGATCGTCCTTCGCACTCCACAAGTTTTGTTCACGCATGGCCGAGCTTGAGCGTCCTCTACATTTGGGTTTTTCTTCGCCGCTGTGTTTAGTCTTAACTTCCCTCTTCGCCTCTTTACGCTCTTCCTCCACCTTATTCTGGATTCCCTGGAGAAGCGTTCTCGTCAGTCTGCTGAGTACGTGGCTGTCTGCGAGTTTCATAGTCACCGGTTTCTTTGCGTTTCCTCCCCCTTGATTGCTTTGTCTTTCTCTTCTCGAGGCGTCCATTCCGTCGGGCTTCCCCATTTGAACGTCACGTACTGATCCAGCCGTTTGGTCTCCCACCTCGTTATCGCAAAAGAATTCGGGAGTCTGCTCTACCAGGTGAGTGCTGCGCCGTCTCCGTTGTGTGTTGCTTTGCTCTGCGCAGAATGGAGCAGCAAAGTTGGTAGTCCCTCCGGCTTGCACTTCGACCGCGTTTGCCTCTTCCCCATTTACGTCAATTTTCTTAAGTTTCACTGGGCACGAAGACGCTTTGCGCATGTTTTTAAGGGACGTCCGCGAACTCCTCTTATTGTCGCTCCATTGGTTCAGGAGATCCGCGTTATCTTCCGTGATGGTTCCCCTGCTGTAGTGATGCAGGTTGTTCGCGTCTGCCTGGGCCATTTTGCATTAACCCGTGTAAGCGTCGCCCGTGAGAAAGACTCCAGAGAAAGACTCCCTAGTAACACTCGTGTATGTCACCTGCAACTGTTGCACACAAAGGGGAAGTCAGGGTGACAACTTCCCAAGTTGTTGCAAAACGCCTGAACAGTCAGGTAAAAATTGCTAAAAAAAAAAAAAAAACGGAAAGGGAAATCCCCACGATGAGACTTCCTCTGTAGGAAAAAAAACGGACAATCACTTGAGGTGGTAAAAAAAAGGGAAAAAAAGGCAAACGGGATTACTTCAAAGGGGAAAAAACTTTCGCATGAAAATTCGTACCAGGCGGACGCAGACGCATAAGCAGACGCATACGCAGACGCGCACACCGAACAACCGCCCAAGAGGAGAGCACCCACAACACACATTAGTTGGCCTGCCCTTCGAGCGAGGGGGGGAGGAATACGCCCGTGCATACGGCCCCTCGTGTGCACACACAACGCTTGGGGGAAGCGGCACCGTCCAGATGGCGACCGTTTGCGCCCATCGTCCGACGCTACTTCGCTGGCACATATTTACACTCACTTAATCGTATTTGTATTTTTTGCCCTTTTTGCATTTTTTACATTTGTTTACTCATCATTTACCAGGGAGTCATCCTCAGAGACACTCGGGAAGGGGGGTATACAGTGCTGCTATGCATACATACACAGACGTGGGTACGTGTGTGGCTTCTCCCCCCCTGTTTGCGAAAAAATAATTGCGAACTTTGCACTCGCTCTCCCGTTTTCCAGCGAAGTTTTTTTACAAATGTGTAAAAATTAATTTATTAACAATTACAAAAAAAAAAAAGGAAAGAAAAGAAAAAGAAAGAAAATGCCCTTGATAAATGGAGAGGGGTAATACATATGGACATGAGCACACCAAAGCGCAGGCGAAGACGCAGGCGGACGCATTCAGTTATACTCTTGCGCGGGAGCAAACACATGGAGGCGTCAGACCGGGACATATGTCCTCCGTGTGTCACGCGCCAATCACGATTCGCTTTGGGGGGAAAATTAAAAAAAAAGTTGCCATTGTTGCGTTGCGTCATACTTGGTGGCTTAAAACAAACAAAAAGTGGAATCAGGGAGTTGTAGCTGCGGCGGTATGTGGTGAGGCACACACGCGGGGCATAAGTTTGACCTTACGAGGGAGTAAAACCAGCCCCATTATGCTAGCACAGCTTTACTAGGGGGGAAACGTAACCCTTTCTGCATATGCACCCAATCCTGTCTGGCAAATCTGGTGTGATCGTTGGGCCTTCCCCCCACGACGTCATCCCTGAGTGGTCGACTACACTGGTTGTGCTGCTGCTGCCAAGGCTTCTGACATTGCCATCGCTTCTGACATTGCCGATGTTGCAGATCGTGATGACGACTGTGGTGGAAGGACGAGGGAAGAGACGGCGCCTTCACTGCATCGACTTCTGGAGCATCTTTAACTTCTGCTTCTCCTTCTGCTTAATTTTGTCCTGCTGCTTTTTTTTTATATTTTCCTCTCTCTCCACGATGGCAATGATGTCGTCGATTTTTTCTCGTTTCTTTTTTTTCTTCGACGTCATGCTGAGGAGCATTTTTAATTTCTCGTTCACCGCGAGGGGCTAAGAGGCGGAAGGAAGGGGAAAGGGGAGAAGAGGAAAATGGGGGAAAATGTCAGGTGCAATGCGAGGGGAAATGCTCGCATGTTGGGAGTCCCTCTCACAAGGGCGACTTCACCAAGGGGGGGAAGCTAACTGAGTTGGCTGGGCAGACCACTGTGTTAAAATGGGCACGCCGCTTCACCACTTGTGCGCTCCTCCACTTACGGTTATCTCCTTGGGATGGTACGTGCCTGCCTCGCCGTTGGCGATCGCGTGGCAGACCGCTTTGGCCCCCTGGTCCGCCGCGTCTCCAGGGGCAACCATACCCAGATCCTCCCTCTTAAGTGACTCGTTCAGTTCTTCCTGCTTCTTCTTTTCCTTTTTCTTCTTGTCTTTTTTTTTCTTCTTCTCCTTTTTCTTTAGCTTGTCTTCATTATCCCCCTCGCCTTGGTTCTCCACCGCTGGGCCATTTGCATCTGCACCAGTGGGCGTAGCCCCTCCTCCTCCACCGCCACTTCCTGTCACAGTAATCTCCACCGACTCAGCTCCATTCGGGACTTCCTCCCCATCCTGCACTTCCTTTTCCACGCTGGGGTTATATGTGCTTGTGAATTCAAGTAGAATATTTTCCAGTTTATTTTTTTCTCTTTCCCTTTTGTATTTTTTTTTTCTCTCGATTTGTTTTTGTTTAGTTAGGTTATTAACTCCATTAGCACTTCCATTTTGCTTCTTCTTCGCATTAGGAGTGCTAGACGATTTGTTGTTCTTTGTTTCCTTTTCGGTGGCGTTTGGTTTGGCGGCTTCGTCCGCGTCCTCCTTGTCTCCCTCACTACTGTCATCACTGTATTCGTCGTCTTTTTTTTTTTTTTTCGTTTTTTTTTTTTTCTTCTCCTTGTTGTCATTTGCTCCGTTCTTCTCCTGATCATTCAGTTTCTCCACCTCGTAAAAGAACTCGTCATACTCGTCCATCATGTCGGCCCAGGAGGAGTACTTGCTGATCTGGGGGACGATCAACCGGGGGCAAAAGGGGTGTGAGGAGGAGAAGAAGCATGAAAAGACGCATCAAAAAAAGGCATTAACAAAATGCATCAGAAAAACGCACGAATAAATGCATGAAACAAATGCAGTGGCCCCAGGCAGGGGGATTGCACCACCCCGCGAGATCCACCAACTCTCCGCCGCACTCACATCGAAGGAAAATGTGCTGGCGTCCTTCTTCTCATTCTCCTTCTCATTCTCCTTCTTCTGCTGGCTCTCCTTCAGCTGCTTCGTCTTCCTCTTTATCTTATCCTCCTGTCGGAGGATCTGAAATATGTTGTTCCTGGCGTTCATTTTGGAGCCTCTTCCAGTTGCTCACGAGGTAGGGCGGGGATACAACTATATCGCACCACTTTGGTACGTGCTTGGTACAGTGTGCTTGTTTCTCTATATATGTAAAAGGATGTAGAGACGCTCAGCGTGTTCCCCTTCCTACTCTGCTGAAGGGAGTATACGCCTGCACGTCGCCAGGAAGTACGTCCACCTTTACACAGCTCCCTTAGCTTGGCGCTGACGGGGGATGTTCACCCCTCGGCCTTCACTTCCGACGTAGGAGAGTGCAACGTTTCACGTATCTTCCAGCGCCCAGCATGCACGCCGGAAGGCTATACCCAAACGGTTCACTTAAAACGATGCAAAGGAAAGCGCTTCAATTCGCCCACAAATAACTGGTAACGCTCTGCCAACGGCAAGGGAGAGCAACACATATGCCTAACTGAATTGGCTACCCAGCGGAGAGGCGCACAAGAGAACCTCACAGGAGAACCTTACACGCATATGTATCGCCGTATGGGTAGGTGAACTCAATGGAAGGCCCAGGCAGGGTCATCAAAACTGATTAGGAAAGTTAGAAACGCAAAGGGGCAGGCAAAGGAGAAACAAAATTGCAAGCAAAGGAGAGGGAAAGAAAGGGTTGTTCCTTTTCTTCTAACAGTGTGGAGTACACGTTTGTACAATTTCGTGGCCAAGGCTTGAAAGGAAAAAAAAAAAAAAAAAAAGAAGCCTAGTGAAGCGAAGCGAAGTGATGTGAAGAATAGGGAAAGAAGCAACACTATCATCAAAGCTGCGATGCTATAGCGATAAAATGAAAAAAAAGCTGTACTGCCATCCAGCTCGCAGCTTCAAAAAAGCGGCGTGCGCAGTGTATTGCGTAAACTAATGGGTTATTTTATGCCCCTGTGCCCATTAACCTCGCGAGGGTGATATGATGGCTCAACGGGTGGGGAGCATGCTCTTTCGGGGGTAGTGCTTCATAAATGCCTCGGTTCCTCACGCTGCCTCAAACGTTTGTTCGGTTGAACGTTTCAACCCTTTGCTGTTTTTACCCCGCGCATTGCCACAAATACCACCCCACCGTTGCCCCCACACATCATTTCCCTATTTTAGCGTCTATCTGGTGGGACAAAGATTTCAATCCTTTTTTTTTCCTTTGCCGGGAAGTGTGAGCTGAACGTGGGTCCCATACCCTCACTCAATTAGCTACTTATTTATTTTATTTATTTCTCTTTTTTTGTAAATACATCTTTCCCGCAGCGCAATGGATATCGGGTAGGTAACTGCAAAGGGGGAAAATAGCCGCTCTGCGCCGGAGAAAGCAAAAGAAAGTATACTGTGAGGAAAAACCCAAAGGGAAGAAAATCAGTTGGGTCACTGCCGCCCTAGTGTGTAATCCATTCACTCACCTCCTTCTTTGAGCATCACCGTGTAATTGGCAAGGAAGGTTTTTCTCTTCATTATTTCACCTCATCGTTACATGTGAGGAGTGCCGACCCTCCCCTGCTCCTACTCCGTTGGGGGGCTCGCTGTCTGGGTGGCTTCCCCCCTCCCACGAAATGGATTACCTCTGTGAAGGAGTCGTTGTAAGGATGTAAAAGAAGTAGCAAAATGCTCACTCGAAAAATGGTCACTCGAAAAATGGCAACTCGCGAAGGCGCATTGGTGTCCACTTCTCTTCAGGCGATTCGGAATCACCATTGCCCCGTCCTCACGTGTACGTACAGTGGGCACACTTAACCACATCTTAGAAGGTGGAGGTTAAACACGCCCCGCGTTCTTAATGACCCTTTGTCAAGTTTCCACTTGAGGAAAGAAAAAAGTCAAAGGAATGCATTTCAACAAAAGTATTTATTTATTTTTTTTTTGTCCCTTCCCTTGTCTGTGAATGTGAAGTCAATTGTTTCCCCAGTTTACACCCCCCTAAAAGGTTGTCTGTTCCTGTAGCTACTTGTACCACTCTGTGTGTGCTCTACTTTTCACACCATTTGGATCCCCTCTTCTCTTGTCCCTCTTTAATTTCCCCCCGCTCAACCATGAACGCTCATACACTTAAAGAGAGCGACATTAATGACATGATTTTGGACCTCATGAAGAACAAGAAGAGGGGTACCGTGGCGAGGAAGAAGAAAACGAAGAAAAGCCCCTCAAAGGGCAGCTTAACCAAGGAAGAAATAAAGAGGTTGGGCGAGGAACAAATGGAGAGGAAAAACAACAGACATGGGCGGAAAAGGCTATGTGTGCACTGTAAAGGTGCTGACCTGTTCAGGTGATTTATTTATTTTATTTTTTTCTTAACTTTCCCACTGCTCTACCGCCCTACCGCTCCTCCACTTCAGCAATGGCGTGGCCACGTTCAAACAACAAGAGCAAATATACAGGGACGAGGAGGCGCACACGCTGCAGTACATAAGAGGCGAGGCTGCGAGCAAAGAGAAGGAGGTACTCCCTGTTGTTGTGTGCCACCTTCTGGGGGGCGGGCCCGTCCAATGAAACGATCCGCGCACGGCAGTGAAGGTGCACATGTAGAGTTGCTTATCTGCTTATCCGCCCATCCGCTTATCTCCTCCTCGGCGGCGCTCCCCCCAACAGCTAAACGACTACTATCTGTACTGCCAAAAGTTTAAAAATGAATACAAGACGAATTTCAACGAAGTCCTGAAGCAGTCGGAGGTAATCCTTTCCGCGTCGTGTCCATCCCGTTTGGATGCTCCCAGCACCTCCGAGAGATACCAACGGAGAATCGCTTCACCATCCCTTCCTCCCAACTCACCGCAGGAAATGCGAAAGGAACTTTCGAACCTCCGCAGTGAGTACCTGGATCTCAAGTTACTCCTAGGTGTGTAAAAAGGAAAAAAAAAAAAATTGCGAGGCATTCTCAAAAAAAAGAGATAGCTTCTTACAGAGGGATGCGTTGCGAACGGCTTGCTAGTCCCCCTATAACCGCCCCCTCCCCCCCTACCGCAGAGGACCAAAGAAAAATGGAGCTCAACGGCATGTTCAATTTTTACCAAAAAAAACTGCAGGACATCAAAGCCCACTGCATCAGCCAGACGTTCTGCGACGAAAATTTGAAAAATATCGTCCACGAAATTTTGAGGGTCATCCATTAGGAGGTGGTCACGGGGTTCTCATCAGACTAATCCGGTCCTGAAGTTAATCCTAATGCTAATCATATTGTCCATTTAACTTGCTTCTTCTTTTACTTTTCCCTTTTTCTTTCGCCTTTTCGTCGCGCTCTTAAATGTCTACAGTGTGGGATGCATCAGCCACCCATCGACCACCCATCGGCCCCCTCTCAGCCGTCCCACATCTCGTCGTACACCCCGCGCCGAGCCTGCCCAAAGAGTTGCACAAAAATGATGTTCTGCCCATCGGACACAAATCGAGAAACTAACTTAAACTTCAGCTTCGTCCTTTCTTTATAATTCTCCTGGGCAAATACGAAGGCATTTAAAATTTGAGAGCGAAGAAGTATTTTCTCCAATTTTTTTTTTTTTTTTTTCCTCCACATTTACTATGCTTGTAATGATAACACAGTTTTCGCTGATACTGCTTAGTTTGAGGAAGTCCATGCATAGGAATTTTATCATCCTCGACAGGGCGATATTATCTCCTCTGTTTTGAAGTAGCCCATCGCTGCAGAACAACGCCTTCAGTTCGGGTGTGCCAAGCGCGCTGAAATGGGAAGCAGCATCCCCCAGTGGAGGAGACTCTCCTCCACTTTTCCCCACTCCTCCTTTGCCACGTCGAACCGATTTGTCCACCGCTTCTCCGGACAAAGGGATGTTTCCTCCCACCTGCACATCCTGCGCATCCTCCTCATCAACACAACGGGGTATGGTCAGGAAGAGTCTCTTCAAATTTGCATTAGCTTGTTTTATGTGATCCTTACTATCGTCAACCCCAAGGAGGAACACTCGGTCGGTGAACCTCCCCGGAGTCATGTTCACTTCATTTAAAGCATCGAAAAAGGAAGAAGGGGAGTGCATAGGAAATGAAACAATGGGGTAGTTAATACTGGGGGAGCCACAAGGGGCAGTCATTAAAATGGAAAATGCTTCCAAGATAATGCTGCCATCATTACAGAAGGGATCCACAAAATAGAGGTCTTTCCCCCCATTGGTGTAATTAAAAATGTTTATTTTGAACAACGCAGAAGCTATGATTGTGCTTTTTAATGAGCTCTCACTTTTCTGTGCAATGTAGAGACGTCTGTTTAGGTCATTACTTATGTTTACACTAATCTTCAATTCGTTGTAACGGAAAAGGACATGTATTTTTAGCGGCTGGAGAGAGCACGGAGTCAGCTTCTTCTTCTTCAAAAGGATATTTTCATCTCCATTTTTTTCTATATACACTTGTTGCTGCTTTTTAATCACATTTAGGATGATGTTTTTGATCATGCATGTGTGGAAAAGCCTTGACTTTATTGTCTTCACATTTATTTGTGGCTCCGTGAAGACACTGCTGAAGGGGATGTACGCAGACCAGTTAATGTTCCTCACATCATTTATGAAATTACTCTCGTATGCGCAGTACGAGTTGTGTAAGATCAATCGGATTTGTTCCACTGTTCGACTGGTTAGTAGCAATTTGTAAATATATTTCAAATTAGACTCCACTTCAATGCTGTTTTCGCTAACCACGTGGGGATATTTCGCGTCATACGTTTTCTCCAGCGACAGGACGTTGTCGTTCTTGTACGGCACGACGCATACATATTTGTGCAGCTCCCCCGCGCCTTCGTCCGTGCAATGTGCCATACGGGGGCTGCCACGGACGCTGCCACGGACGCTGCCAGTTCCGCCGCTACTGTAGAGGCGCTTCTTCGTCCCCCCTTTCGAATGTACAAGACTGCTGCGCCAACTGGGTTTCAGTCGTGGGGGAAGTCTCACCATATTGTCGTTTTACCCACAAGGTGTTTCATTTTGGCTAGCTTTTTTTTTTTTTTTTCAAAAAAGATATGAACAGGTCAGGCAAAATGTCAAAAAAGGGGAAGAAGAAGAAGAAGAAGAAGGAAAAAAAAAAAAAAAAAGTAATCACCCTGTCAGTGCACAATCTCGAAATGGCTACTCACCGTTACTGTCCTTCCTCCGCGTTTCTAGGGGGGGGAAATAAGTCAACTCGGCTAGGCATCCACTTGTGGGGAAAACCAAAACTCCGTTCTGACAGCCTCGATTTGAATGAAGAAACAGATTCACACTGTTTTGGCAAGCGGTCCACCCTCCTGTGAAAAGGTGTGGTGTTCATATACCTCCCTGTGTTGCATGTCGCGGAAAACAACGTTGCACCAGAGCGTGAAGCTGTTTTTTCCGTGGTTTTGAATTTTCCCAAGTGGAGGTTCACCCCGGGGGGGGAAAGGTGGCGACTGCGATGAGCAGGAGGGAGGTCGGTCAAAACAGGTGCTAGCAGCGTCCCGCCGAGTGAACACTTTCCACCGTGCTTTACCACTTTCCAGTCCACTTCATCACTTCCCACTTCATCACTTCCCAATTCATCACTTCCCACTTCATCCCTTTCACCCCCTTCCACAACTTCGCACATCTACTCTTCCCATGGAAGTGGTAATCAAGAGGCCCTACATTGAAGTATTCGAAAGGATACTGAAGCTCTTCACATCAGTGAGCGAACATCTGCACCTCCGACTCACACGCAGCAAGCTGGAACTCATCGGATCCAACAGCTTAACGAACGAGTTGATAATCCACGTGGACAAGAAGTTCTTCTCCCTGGGAAATGTGAACTGTGATGAGAAGAGCGCCAGTGGGTCTCTTAGCTCGAAAGACTTATACCACTGTCTGTTTAGCTACCAAATAACGAGAATGTTGAGGAGTGATGGGAGTGTCCACTTGGGGAACCACGAAACGGGTGAGCGGGGTAGGCTGGCGGTGGCCTCGGGAGGGGAAACTGCCCACAGCGAGGGCAAACTCGGCAGCGATGTTGTTGGTGGTAGCGGCGATGCCTCCGATAACCGCGGTTGCGGTGCCGCGAAGGTGTCCAAACTGATTCTCAAGTTTAATGAGAAGAATGGCACACTGGAGGTGGTCGTGAAGTTTAAGAAGCGCAACACGCACTGCAGCGCGGTACTCAAACTGAGGCCCTTCTCCAACCCACTAAAAAGTTACGTCTACAGGAATGAATCCATTATACAAGTAGAACCCACTCTCTTTTTGATAAACCTGAAGGATCTAGCCAACGAAAGAAACGTCTTTCTAAAAAACACAGATGACTCCATTGTCCTCAGTGCCATAGAAACTTCCGATTTCAGTCTGAACAGGGAAAAAATCAAAAGAGAGCATTTCTTTTACAACAATAAGAAGATATCCATCCCCTCATGTAAGACAAAGTACTTCTTCAAAAACACGAAGTTTGAGGATCACAGTTTGGCACTTCCTCTCACTGACTTAAAACTCATTTTTAAGTTCTGCTCCGACTTGAATCTCTTGTGTTTATTTGCCACCAAAAATTTTAAGGAGAATGTGGTCATCTGCTTCGGGGGGATTATTTCACGCATTCTGGAGAAAAATAGGAGGAGGATTCTCTCCCAAAGGAGGTGCAGCAGGGGGGGAGGTCCACAGTTCATGCAACAGGTGCGGCAGATGGGGAAGACCCATTGGGGGGAAGAAACTCCAAAGATAGGGCAAAACATCAGAATGCACCACGCCAGCCTCTACTCGAAGAATCCCTCCCCATACAGAACTGCTCACTCACAAGGGCAAGAGGAAGAAGGACCCAAATCGTGCGTCTTCTACCTCTCCGATGAGAACAACTCAAGTGATGAAGACGACTCGGATGTGGATGAAATGGATCAGCCGGGCCTTTATTTTTCCCCTTCACATGATCAGGCGGATTGGTGCAACGATAATGAGATTCATTACAGTGAGGGGTATTATAACGACATCCATTATAATGACATCATAACGGGGCGAATCCATTTCACGTCCTACTTCAACATATCCTGCAATTTTAATGACTACAATTTTAAGGAGTACAATTTTAGCGGAGACGACCTGCTTAGGAGTCACTTCGGAGCGCCCTCTTCACGCGAGGTGAAAGGGGTAGACATACCGTATGGCACGGGGGAAGGGGAACAACGGAACCGCCCCCAGAGAGAGCGCACACATGAGCGATGCGAAGTGATCACCGGTGAAAACAACCCAGAGAAGATGCCAACAAAGCATTCAGAAAAGAGAATTAACCAAACGTGCAACATAAAGTGCGAGAAACAGGAACGCATGAATAAGTCAAACAAAAGGGGTGATCCCAATGAGGAGGACTCACCTCATGTAAATAAATGCAGAAAAAAGGAACCAGTGGAGGAAGGATCCTATCCTGATCTCAGAGAAGAGAAAGAAACATACACCAAGAAGGATACTCGCACGATCGAACCCCCTAGTGAGGAGCTAAATTATGATCGGTTCATAAGAGGAAACAGAAAAGAGGTAGAAAGCTACTTCACAATGGAGTTAAAGATAAAGGAACTCGAAAGGACTCTCGACATGGTAGACAAAATGGAACAGCTCAACCAGAGGAGTGGGATTAGGTCGAGAGGTGGAAGTCGTGACGCAGCGTCTTCTTTCGCTGACCGAATGGATGAAAGGATGGAAAAAAAAAAAAAAACAATCAAAGCGGGGTGTTTTCTTTCCAATTCGCGTGAAGCGAATAAAAGGGGAAAGAAGTCGAGAAAGAACTTGAGGAAGACATCGAAGGGGGGGTATCCACCATCCTGTTACAGTGCATCCGCAGAAGCAGACAGCCGCACCAGTTGTGATTCCCGCTCGGATGAGTGCAACTCCTTCGATTGTGACAACTTCTACTCAGTAAGTGACGGAGGGGACTCACCCTCCACTCCATCGCCACAGATTAAACAGGACGAAGGACGCGATGGCTACTTCGACAACGTTTACTCCAAGTACCACTGGTGTGACAATTTAAGTGATTTTAAGAGGAGGCTCTGCGAGAGTGGCGACCAGGTCGGGGATGGGTGGTACGTAGCACGTCCGAGTTGCAATCAGGGAAGGGGTGCTGAAAAGCGGCTTCCCCGACGTGCCTCCAGGAGTTCGCATTATAGGCGGTTAAGCACGGACACATATGGGGGAGTGTAAGGAGCAGTGTAGCGGGGAGTGTACGGAGGAGGCCCATCCGTACAGACTAAAACAGGACGGATGATTTCATTGCCGCAGAGATGGAGCGCCAAGGAGGAGGCTCCCGTGGATGTCCAAGTAAGCACAAGGTGTGGGAAGACACCACCGGGGAGGACCATCATGATGATCGTCATTTTTTTTTTTCTTGTAAACGTGGAGAAGCGTTTTACCTGACTTGTTCATAGCAGTTTGAAAAGGGGACCTGGTGCGGCGGGTGATCTGTTAAGCGGTGGCTACCGTGAGGGTCATCCAGACGGCTTCGCAGACAGCTTCGGAGGCAGCTTCCAAGGCAGCTTCCCAGGCAGCTTTCCGCACATCTTCCTGCCCCGTTCTTTCCGACCCCGTCGTCGCCAACCCCGTTACCGCCTCCCCTGGGGAAGACCCGCCAGAGGCGCAGCGTCTCGTCGGGCGAGCCCGTGACGATGGATTCGCCCTCCGGACTGAGCGCGCCATACAGCACACGCAGCGCGTGCCCGCTGAGCGCCGACACCTTTCGCAGCCGCGGGTATTTCCACACAACCACCTGCCCGAGTGAGTAGCTGTGGGTGGAGACAAACTCGTCCGTGTGCTTGGCCCAGAAGAGATTAGAAACCTGCGAACTTGTAGGCAGTTCATTAAGACACTCTCCCGTGGCGGTGTCCCAGAAGAAAATCTTTTTGTCAGCAGACCCTCCCCCAGTAGCGAGCAAGTTGTGTTTGTGGGGAGACCAACTGATGGCCTTCACTGCAGCGGTATGTTTCGTAAGCTGAAATAGAGGGACACATTTTCGCCATTCCCAGATGTACACAGAGTTGTCATTGCCCCCGGAAGCCAACTGCTTCGTCTTATAATTCCATTGAAGCCCACACACTTCCGAAGTATGATTAGTTAGCTGTGCGTAACTACTCTCCTTGCATCTGATGTCGGAGGAGACAATCTTGTTGTCCCTACTTCCCGTGGTTAACGTGTTGTAGTGCCATCCCACTGCTCCTACTCTTCGTTTGTGATTCTTGTACTTTCTTATCTTCACCTCTTTTTCCAGATCCCAAATTTGGACGACCCCGTTTGACAATCCAACTGCTAAGTAGTTGCCAAAATAGTTCCACCTTAATGAT